AGATACCGTCTCATACTGGTTCGAGGGTCAGACCTCCGCTGGCTGAACAGAGATCGCCTCCAAGAAGTCAAAACAGGCCTAGCAACTCAACACAAATGGATCCCCGTTCAGGATCTTCCCTTCCCTGAAGTTGTCCTGTATGCCTACGCAGCTGATCGCACACCCTTTCCCACATACGTGTGCCTGCCTTCAGGACTGTACAAAGCACGCACCGGACAAGTGGTAGCACAGACCGGCCCAGAGCAGGAAATCCTGTCTCTGCCAGGTATATACTTCTTTGATGGATGGGGGGTACACCCTACGTTGCCAATCCCCGACCACCTGCCACGCGCTAAAGAGGCGCCAGTCCAAGGTAGCGCCCTGACTGCTCCGACACCTGACACAGAATCTACCCGGTCGCCGGAGGAAGAAGCGAGAGACATCCTGGCTACAGCTGCCAAGAATCAGCCCGAAGATGGGCCAAACACAAGGAGAGCAGCAGTCCGCGCGTGCAAATATTTGAGGGCAATGGTTAACCAATATGAGTCCACCATCCATGCGGTGCACATAGCAGCCCGTACCCATACACAACGAAGCAAGGGCGTAGTAGGGCCACCAGTCGATTATCGCCCGCAAGGTGAAGCTCTCCCAGTTATTTCCTCCGACCTGACTTCAGAATTACTGCATTGCCTGTCCACGCTTCCAGACCCATGGCCCCTGGCTAAGATCACCATAGACATGGAGAAACCGAGCCAGTGGGTCTCAAAGTTGTGCAGACTCTACTTTGCCGATGAATATGCCAGGCGAACAGTCGGACTGCCCTCACCAACACATGTCCCAGACATCGCGGCAGCACTCCGAGCGGTACAGGCTATCCTCCCCAAGCTTGAAGTCAAAATGATTGAATTCTTAGCGGAATGGCTGGTCACCTTTCTAATACCAGCAACGCACGTATTGGAAGTGAGGGCACCTCGTCTTTCCTTTATGTTGCTCAAGGAATACTGGTTCAGAGAGCTATACCTAGGCTTGAAAGTCACAGCATCTTTCGATCGCTCCGAATCATATACCAGAGTAATCGATGGTCAGGTAAGATGCATAACGCCCGAAATCAAGCCACAGAACCTGCAGGTCATCTGGAACGTGCAGTTTATCACAGTTTTCGTGCCGGCATGGATGATCCCACCAGTATACCACAGCCTGCGCAGAGAAAGCATCAAAACCGCAAGTTCCGCCAGTCCCATAGGCGTCCAGTCGGTCCGCCCAACCTGGTTTGAAGATGTTGCAGCACCCAAGGATCCCACGCCCCAACCCAACCAAGACCCTCAAGGGCAGCAGCCCCAGCCACTGCACGGGCTGAAGTTAGTTATCAAGGAAGAGGTGCTGCCAATGAAAGACCAACCGGAGTTCCCATCGCTTGAATTGCTGGCTGCCCGAGGCCTTTTAGCACCTGACACGTGGAAGTGCAAGCGCGCACAGGTCAGCCTGAAGGCAACAATTGATGTCCCTATGCTGGGCACAATTATCGAGCAGAATGGAGATGGACTCCTTGAAGACTCCCACATGCCCGTAGGATGGCCATTGCACATTGATGGTGCCGTCAGACAATGTTGTATTCATCGAGCCGCAAGCCAGCAAGAATTAGACGACATGCTTAAAGAATATGACATGAAAAGAGACTCAGTAGAAATCAACCATGACGCACCTCAATGGTCTCACCATGCAGTATGGAACAGACGGTACATGGAGCCAAAACCAGGATACACACTGCAGCAACTATGGGCTGATTCTGAGCCTGCCATAGGCAAGAAAACGCCCCCTTCGTATGAAATCAAAACAAATGACGTTTTGCGTGCAGTAGCGGCTATCCAACATCTCCCATCTCCCACGCTACCTGACAGCCCCTTCATACGCGCGTTAGGGACATCGGCAGCTCACAAGGCCTCACCACAAACTGACACCCTAGCTCAAAGAGCCCTAGAAGAGTGGGAGCGCACTCTGTGTGAAAACAAGGCAGTGGCAATCCTTGCAGAGGTGCAAGCTGGCCGACCAGCCCTGATCCAGAAAGATGGTGGCGAAATGCTCATCGCCATTGTCCTTGACAGGCCACTAGCGGAAGCAAAAGCACTAGTTGATGACCCTGCAGCTTTCACTCGTGAAATGACCAGGATCCTGCGCGAAAAACAAAGCCATCCACTAATTGCCCAAATGATGCAACCAGCCGAAAGTAGTGACCCACTCCCTGCAAATGCCGCAGTCAGTAGCTCCGGTAGCCGTGATCAATCTTGCACCAGTCAGTCCGTGCAGTTTCAGTAAGCTACTAGAGCCAGCGTGGGGTACCCACGGTTGGCATGATATTAGCCATTTTTAAGCCCGTGGTCCCTAAGTTCTGTCACCATGGGGTACCCATGGTTGACCACTACCCATTGCAGCTACTCCTGTGGTAAGCTTGCCATTGTGTCAATAAGGGACGTGAGGAGGTGGGGGGATTATAATATCCTTTCTAAGGGGCCTTACTTCATGTAGTGTGTTTTAGGGTAGCATAGTACGATGTCAAAGTACATCAAGCCATGGTGCCCGTTGCCGTTTTACCTTCGTGCAACCAACACACCACCCGGCCAGATGACTTCCACCGAACGTCCTTATGCCTTTTCTCGACCAGGTTGCAGCACTATGAGTGATGAACAGAGCGCCTAGAGGCTCGCTGATTGCAGAGTACCTTGCGTGTGAGCTGATCTTTCAGTATGGATCATCAGACTTCTGACAAAGACGCAGCTGTCCATCGCCTTGCAAAGTCAATTACTCAATTGACCCTGTGCCAAGTCACTACCAGTGAAGTAGAAGCTGCCACAAACCTGTTGAGTAAAGCATCTCAGAAGCTTCAAGGCATCCAGAATATCCCATCCCAAAGGCTTGCTGACCTGGAAGCTGCCATACGCCAGCTCCGCCAAATTGGCTGCATATTAGATAGTTGTACAATCTCGGCCAGCTACGAAGTCACCCAAGCGCAAAAGGCCATATTGTTACTGGATCATACAGCCAAAGGAGCTAGCACGTCATCGGCAGAACTCAATGCACAGATAACACCACGCACTGATGATGAGCACAATCTCCCATACCATGAGGACTATTGGCAAGAGTAAGAGTACACGGAAATTCACTCCAAGCCGCAATGATGGAGCTATGAGAGATGTCCTCGTAGGATATCTCTCACCGCCCCCTCATTCTGGTCGTCATTCAAGTGAACTACCCCAGGCGCAGCGCCTATCCAGTTAGCACTCTCTGAACTGGAATGGATATCTCTTGAGAGTATGATGATTGGAAAAGCACTTCTGAGCGGACTCTGAGTGTGCCCTGAGTGCCGTAGTCTTGCTTTCTTTCTCACATTAGATCATGTTTCACTCTCCTGTTTCACTGCGTTAGTTGTTCTCACCACTTTCGTTGCGACCCGGCTTTGTCGGTGTTTGCTTCAAAGTGTAGTGTACTTGTTCACTAATGTTTTGGGGTAGTAGGACTTCATCTTATAATGATGTAACATTTTGGCTCAAGTTGGCTTCCACGTTTTATGCTTTGTTTTGTTTTATTTTATCCCGGGTTCATGGTATGACAGCCATGTTGCTTGTTCAGATTTTTTTTTTGGTTTTGTTTTTACAACTGTTTGCAGTACTTCAGTTTCTCATGACATGTCATCAACAGACATCACTTCTCCATCTCATTTCGCTCCGGCCGCTCCGGGGCGTTGATGTTACAGCCAGCGTTGGTGGGCCCCAGGTATTTTCACCTGATTTTCATCGACCAAGCATTGCCTTCAGCAGAACTCCGAACAATTATTTTCAGCTTTTTGTACATCCCACCATTGGATTGCTGGCCATTTGAACGTCCGTTGCATGGACCTTGGAACTCAGAATTGTATCATTTCAGTGTGATTTGCACTGCAGTGTATCATCCTTGCGTGAATTTCCTTTCAGTGGACACTCCAAGCGTTGCCTTGTCCCCTGCACCAAGCTTATTTTCGTGACTTGCTGGACATCATGGACATGACTGAGAAGGACGATGATTGGATACTGATTTCACCTGCCAATCCCAAGAAACGTTGTGCCCCAAAACCAGTACCAGTTGCACCTGTTCGATATGCTTCTAGTCTGGACCAACCCCTGAAAAAAGGTGGTAAACCCGCACCAGCATTTGTGAGACCTGGCTCAGTGACCACACCTGCTGATCTACCTCTACGTCAGCCTGGACCTGAATTGCAAGTTGACGGGACATCCAGACGCCAGTCAAGTCGACAAAAAATATCAACAGGACATGTGATTTCTGCTCCACGTGGAGTCAAAACCGCTCAGCAGTCACACACCACTGCGTCCATACCTGCAGATTTAGTGACCAGATGGATGATCATCATCCACAGCGTGGGGAGCCTGTCTCAGATTTGGCAGGACTATCACTTGTCAGATCAGTTTGCAGTTCATTGTCAACGTTTACTCGAGAAGTTTGCACCCTCAACTCTTTTCAAATATATTAATACCCTTCAATGCATTTACACAATTTTACTGGATTTTTCATGGAATTGAATCGACATTGGACGCCACCATTTGTCAGACCTGCTGCAGATTGCACATGAAGGAAAAAGCTCAGAATGGGGATTTGGAGCAACGACAGCAATCAAAGCGTTGCGCTGGGCTCAGAAACTCTTGGTGATACCTGAATGGCAAATGCTATATGACCCAATTGTCAATTCCTTCTTCAGCCCCGGGAATCATGAAAGACGTGAATCCATACCCCTGAGCTTATTTTTGGTTTCCCAATGGGAACGACGTGTCCTGATGAAGGAATGCACTTTACAGGAACAAGTGCTGCTCGGCGGATTTCTTTGCCTCCTTTGGGGCGGATTACGTTTTGCAGACGGTCAAAGGATTTACAGTCCTTGTCATGGTGCATTACAGCATTGAGAGGGTCATGCTATAGAACCAAGACATCTCGCTCTGGTCAGCCCTGGGCAATTCAGGCGAGGGGCTTCTTGTCGCATGGCGAATGGTCATGGGTGGCGCAATGGCTACAGGCGTTAGACACTGTTTGGTCAGGAGCTCACAATGCAGTTTCAGATGGTGATTTTCTGCTACCCATGACCAATGGTCAAAATTTTACATACCCACTTGTGCCCATGCCGTATTCACAAGCGTTGCATTGGCTTAGATATTTCAGCACACTACCCTGGAAACATTCGACAGTTCCAGCGTCAGCCAATCCAAATGATTACACACTGCATTCTTTGAAGACGACCACTTTGAGCTGGTCCAACCAACTCGCACAACAGGGGTTGGTTACAGACGAACAGAGACATCTCCAAGGACACCATCGCAAAGGCAGTATGCGCCTTTACAGTCGAGATGACACAGCAGGTCAACTGGCCCTGCAAAATACACTTATTTTGCAGGTCCAAAAAGGTCACCGGTTTGTGACACCTTTGCATCGAGGCTCTCAGCGTCCAATCCAAGAGCCAGAGCTGACTTTGGAGAAATTTCGAAAATCGTATCAGAAGTACAAATGGCCCTTTTTTCCATTCAATGAGGCCACCACAGACCCAATCCTGGAAGGCATTTCCTCCTCGCATTTGGCCTCCTCCGTGATTCAGGAGGACACTAAGGATGATGATTCATCAGATTCGAGTAGCAGTTCATCCTCAACAGCTTCCAGCTCAGCTGCAGAAGAGCTCGACTTTGGGGATGCAGAAGAGTTGATCGTAGCGAGGATCACTAAGATCCAACACATGATGCTTGTCACGACAGACTGCCACCAACCACGGTGGAATGATCAACACTTCAAAGCGGCTTGTGGAGCCAGGTTACCCAGAGACAATTGCGTTTTTGATACTCAGCTGAATCCAAATTTTGGTATGTGTCGTCATGCTGCATGCTTCAAACGCTGGAAGCAGGCATCTTGCGTAGACGACTGATAGCTCTCTTGTCGGAGTCCAAAAAACAGGGTCAGCTGATTCACCATGGCGTGCAAACACAACAACTTGAGATGTTAATTTTTTTTTGGGTTGGTTAATGTTCCTTGTGCAGGTTTGACTCAATTCGATGTCGGGCACAACATTTCAGGAATACAAATTCCGATTGCGTTCCGTGGATCAAGATCACACGACATTTCATTAGTGATCACTTTAGTTTCCAGGTCCTGTCATTCAAATTTTTCATGGGTTTTATTCCTGATTTCCATACTCATTCAACACGTATTAATTGAATCAGATGAGAATTTTCACATCAACCATCAATTCTGTCCGCTTGAGCTTGCGTCGCGTTCTCCAATTGGAGACACATGGCTCTGCCAGATCTGGAAGATCACTTGGCTTCACATGGCGTGGACCCAGCCATATCCTCGCACATGATTCAAAATGGTTGGACATCCCAGAATTTTGCAATGATTGTAGATTCAAAAGAAGGTTTCACTGATGAACTATGGTCAGAACTTTCAGATACCCCTATTCCATTGGTACAGCGTGCAAACCTGAAAGTGGCGTGGCAGTTTTTACAAACGGAGGCTGTGCCTTCAACGCGTGATTCTCCAGGGAGTGCGGCTGCATCTCCATCGGGCATTCAGCCTGACGGATCGTGGGCAGAATCTTTTGCCCCTAAGATCCAACCCAGTACAGTGGCAAAACTCAAGAAGCAGTTTCTGGAGGACTACCCCAGTGAAGTTCTGACCACGGAAACAATGCCATCAACGAGACTGTTATCATTAGCACACCACCAACATTCCAAACAGGAATATAGGTGGATCCCCTGGAAGTTTAGAATGACTCAGTCTCGCATGGAGGACATGGTCATCTATCAACGCCCAAAGATACCCAAGGTTGAAGGCCTTCAATTACACCAGCTTCTTTGGGACGAGCCTCCTTCGCTGGATGTCAACAATCAAGGGATGGGAGTTAACGCCATTCGGAACATGTTAGAGGTGCACAACACAGCCATGTCAATAGTGGGAGCTTGCCATTTGCAGCGCCTTCGATCCTACACTTTGAAATTTATGGGATTCTTAACCCAAAGGTTAGATGCTGACTCTGGCCTCCGACCGCCCAACGTATTGGAAGCGCAAGCAGCTGACAAGGCATTGTGGCAGATGATTCATGACCTGGTCCTGGATCAACAATTCACCCTGGACAATGCCATTCACGAGGTGACGCATTTGAGATCCGATATGGCATCATTCCTCCAACCCAGGCCGAAGCTGTCGACCAAACCACAACATCCTTCTCCAGCGGCACCATCCTCAGGATCTGCAAAAGGACGTGGCAAATCAAAAAGCAAAGGCAAACAAGGAGGCAAAAAGGGCGAAACACCTTCTCGCCCAACCTGGGTCACAGAAGCAACAGTGCAAGGCAAACGGCAACAGCTATGTATGCAGTTCCAATCGGGCAAGTGTCAAAAAGGAGATACCTGCCGTTTCAGCCATTTGTGCGCCCATCCATTGGCGTCGGGACAAGCATGCGGCCAACCTCATAGTGCGTTTGACCATCAGCAGCAACCACACTGACTCTTACAGGACGATCAGTTGCGGGTCCCTGCGTTTTCTGAGACCCCAATAGCAAGTGTGGCGCCAGAACCAATTCAAACAGGTGATGAACCAGAACAAGATTCAACAATGGTTGATCTTCCATCAACATCTGGGACATCACCTTCAGTTTCTACCATTCCACACTCGGTTCAAACCTCTGTGGATGTTTCTTCTCTCGAAGGTTCCAGAATTTTTCTGGACATTTGCGCTGGCTCTGGATATCCTTTGACATCAGCGATGCTTGGACATGGATGTAAATGCTTTCCGGTGGATAAACTGATTGATGCAAAAATGGATCTTCTGGACAATACATTTTTTGAACCTTTACTGAGAATATGCGCTTCGGGCATTGTGGGATATGGAGCAGCTGCTCCTAACTGTGGGGAGTATAGCCGCCTCAAGCTACAACCTGGTGGACCTCCAGCATTGAGAACACCAGAATTCCTCAATGGGCTACCCAACTTGAGCCCATCTGAGTTGGAAAAAATTCAATCCAGCCATACCTTGATGGCCCGATGTGTATTGTGTTTGGAATTGATATTCGCTTCTGGAGGACACGGTCACCTGGAACAACCTACCAATTCCATGGCATGGCTTGAACCTTTGGTACGTCGATTTATCAAATTTTGTGCCCTTTATTTGGTGAATTTTCCCGCCTGCGCTTACAACAGGAATTGGTACAAAGGTTGGCTCCTAGCTTGCACATACCCTGCAATGAAATCATTGGGTGCAATCTGCTCGCACCCACCTGGGACCCATGAAAAGATCGCTGGAGTTAAACATGCAGATGGGTCATACAAGAGCCGAGATACAGCAGAGTACCCGGCTGAAATGTGCCAAGCAATTGCAGCTTTGATATTTCCTTTATGCTCGCCCTCCCAGGGACAATTGTTGGATGCCGTATCAGCCCAAGCATGCATTCCAACCAAACCACTTGATGCTCTACCTGTTAGTTATGAAGATGGTGGAGGGCTTCATTCAGAACCAGACTGGAGCAGACCTTACAGATCAGCCCCTGATGCATTGCACCATCTCCGCAGGCAGTGGGTCCAATTTTTGTTAAAAAACGGGTTGATCGAAAAAATGAAAGCTTTCTTTAAATCAGGGGATAACCAACCACCTTTTAATGACCATGATCTTCAACCATTTCGAGAGTCCATGACGACGTTTATACAATCACATGGACTTACCCCTGACTGGTCCGTACGTGCAGACCAACCAATGCATTTATCCATCATGGCATCTTTGTCACACATTTTGGCTGACAAAGATACATCATTATTTCCCATGTTGCTGGAGGGCGCCCCAACTGGATTCGATGGGAATATACCTAGCTCGGGTTGTTTTCCGAGAGCTGATGACAAAACAGACGAATCCATTCCGTTATCCGTCCACATGACCAACTGGCAGTCTGCAGAATCAGACCTCCCAACCACCCGCGACCTGGTGGCACAAGAATTAGAAAAAGGATGGATTTACAAATACCCGGGATCTCTGGAAGACGCACAACTGGAATTTGGCGACAAATTAGCCATCGGCCGCCTGGGATTAGCATTGAGCGAGACTCGACCACCACGGTTAGTTGTAGACTCCTCCATTTGCGGCGTCAACAACCGCTGCAGCATACCGGAGCGAAGTACGCTCCCGAGCGCTCAGGACATCATGCGGGTCTACCCTTTGAGAAACACTGCTGATTCCCTAATGGGATTCTCGCTTGACATCAAATCTGCTCACAAATTAGTGGTTATTCGAGAATCTGATCGTGGCCTTCTTGGATTCAGTTTAGATGGTTCCATATATTTTTATAAAGTAGCTCCCTTCGGAGCCACCTTCAGCGCATACCATTGGACAAGATTGGGGAGCTTCATATTGCGATGCATCCACTTCCTGCTGTGGTGGTCGCACGCTGGATTTTTATACGTCGATGACTTCTTCTTCATTTTCCCAGAGAAGGTTGCTTGGGTAATGGCCAGTCTATGCTGCATACTGGCCCAGGTCCTCAACATTCCCGTTTCATGGCGCAAAACTGAGTTTGGCCCTCGAGTTCAATGGATTGGATGGCAATTTCATGTTACAGCAGGATATGTTAGCCTTCCTCAAAACAAAATTGATAAACTTGCAACGTATATCTCGACCATGCAGAAATCATCAAAAACATCCAGAAAAGCATTGGAGAAACTGGTGGGACTACTGAATTGGATCACTCAAATTTTCTTATTGATGCGATGCTGGCTTCCGATCCTCTACCGCGACCTTTACCATGTTCCTGCCAGCCACTACAGCATTGATCCTGGTCATTGGAAACATGTCATTGATTGCTTGGATGATAATTTACAATTTATTCACAAGCCCACTGGAACCGGTATCCCTGTTGGAAGTACTCTTTTAGCAGTACGACATCAAGAAGTCAAATGTAAAGCTGACCACCAAATTTACCTTTCTGAACGCAGAACCTGGTTACGACTCCGTGATCCAGCTTCGATTCGGCGAACTTTGAGCGCTGACTCCCATCGCATATTGGCAATGTATGCAAACTGGCTTCAATCAGTTGCTCTGGTAAAGTGTTTAAGGCCAAAACAACTCTGGTCAGGAGAATGTGCAGCAGATGCTATGGCCTCAGGAAGCATCTGTCAGATTGGCGGATTCATCCGATTCCCCTCTGGCACGACCATCTGGTTTAGTGAAAGATTCACTTTCGATGATTTCAAACAACTGAACATCCCCGTCACACCTGAGATGCAAAAGTGCATTGCCTCCTTTGAGACATTAGCCCAAATAGCGATCCTGTACATCTTCAGTCGCAGCTCCCCAGGTTTTAGATTTCCCTTGCGTATCCAGTCATTGACCGACAACTCTGGTACTGAAGCTGGTGGAAATAAACTATTTTCGACCACTTCTCCGTTGAATTATTTTTTGGAACGTTTAACATTACTTTGTACAATTTCTGGAATGGAACTTGATTTGTCACACATTGCCGGTGACAGAAATGATGAAGCTGACGCATTAAGTCGCTGGGATTTTAATTCGGATCCACCGTTTGGCCATGAACTGCACAATCGTTTTGCACTTTCATTAGCTCAGCTTTGGCACCCAGAAGCATCCGTTTCCTTGCATCCGCCTGAAACATACCTGGCATGGCAAATTCCATAGTGTAGCCACGTTTTTCTTTTTCGACTGCTGGAATCCAACGCTTATTTTTGGGGTTAGGTTTGGCGTTTGAATCCCAACAGTCTGATAGAGTAAAAGGGGAAAACATGACCATCAGACCAGGGAGTTCAAATAAGGACATAACCAATGTCCGATCCAAACTGCTTCACAATAGATTCAAAGCAGGCAGTCGAAAAAGATGCGAGTGAGAACCGCTTTTCTTCGAGAGAGTTTCATGCGATCGATGTTTGTGCGTTTTATTATTTATTTATTGTATATAAATAAATAAATATATATATATATATATAGATGGAAGCCGACTTGAGCCAGAACGTGTAGTGTACTTGTTCACTAATGTTTTGGGGTAGTAGGACTTCATCTTATAATGATGTAACATTTTGGCTCAAGTTGGCTTCCACGTTTTATGCTTTGTTTTGTTTTACCCTCCCCCCCACACCTTATACATTAGTGGAATTCAACTGTTGTTTCAATTCATACGAACGATCGCTTCGCGTCAATTTCATGGCATCATTTGCCTTGGGTTCACCTCTTGGTTTCATAACCGTGGGTCATCCAACTTGACCACAGCCTTGGCTTCCAACTGCAGTTGGCAACGTCCAATCAAATTTCACCGCTGCCAGATCGATAATCGATCCCAAATTTTCAATCTCTCTCTGATGGGGGGAAACATGACCATCAGACCAGGGAGTTCAAATAAGGACATAACCAATGTCCGATCCAAACTGCTTCACAATAGATTCAAAGCAGGCAGTCGAAAAAGATGCGAGTGAGAACCGCTTTTCTTCGAGAGAGTTTCATGCGATCGATGTTTGTGCGTTTTATTATTTATTTATTGTATATAAATAAATAAATATATATATATATAGATGGAAGCCGACTTGAGCCAGAACGTGTCAGGGTGAAGGTCATGCCGTGAAGGCTGCTCTTTGTGATCTCGGGGATCCTGGCTGGGGGGATCCCTGGTTTCCGCATTGAGCTTTGTTGCTTCTCGCACCCGCCAATTGGCCCCTGGTGTTTTTGTGGCGTTTCTTGTTTTGGTTTTTTGTTAGGGGCCAGCGTCATCATGGCACACAAGATGTCATTCTGCATGCACCGAGATGATACTAAGCTATCACCTCTTGTAGTAATCAATCCTTTTCACTCATAACTGGAACCTGTCACGTCATTCAACTGTGGTGTGCGTTTTTTGGTTTGTTTGTTTTTTGTTTTGGGGTTTGTTGTCTGTTTGTGTTTGGGGCTTTTTTGTTTTTGTGTTTTTGTTTGTTTTCTCTCGGTGTTTTGTTTGGTTTTCTGATTGATCGTGACAGCATACAGGACTATGTATCGGTCCTACACCAGTTTACTTTTGCGGCCACCTACAGCACCGGCCTCGGCATGCCTTAATTAATCAATTAATCCCAATTGCAATATGCTCTTGCCCATGTTGAATGACCTGGCGGAAGCCATGAAGGCGTTGGACGGAAAAAAAATATCCTCCTAAAAAAAAGAAGGGTGCATGGAGTTGCATGCTGTTGCAATTGAAGGCAAGGATGTTCGAGATCACGTGATCGAGACAGAGCTAGACCTACAACAAGCCCTCATCAAGATGATACCCACTCCGGGTGGTGCTGGTGAGGAAGGTGGACAGATTATTCGAAACCTGCTTGTTGAGTTCCTATCAGGATTCTCTCTGCGCGCTCTCATCTTCCTCCTTGACATGGTGCTACCTCAGCTGGATGCCTACCATACAGGCAAATGCAGCACTTACAGCCATGGATAATTGATGCAGCTCACTGCTACCTATCAGTGTGAAGCGTATGCTGGATTCCATGTCTCAACGTTTCACACAGACAGTGCACCACAGACAGTGCACCATTGCTTTTA